TTGCCGGGTTGTCGGCAATTTCCGCAGGGCGTGCTGGGCCAGTAGGGGGCTATGGCTTTCCACGGGATGACCCTGAGTTGATGATACGGGAGAAGAAGACGGAAGGGAGGGAAGTTAGTGGAGATAACGACGAAGCCAGGGGAAATAAAGTAGTGAGTGTGGTCCGCAGTGGGGAAATCAGAGCACCGGGGGCCGCTGGTGGTGGCACAGTGAAACTCCCTAGCACACAGTCGATTTTCTGTTAGGCAGGGGAATCTTTGTCGAAGGCTCTCTTCTATCCAAGGGGTGAAGTATTCCGGGTCGTACAACGACTCTGAGCTCTCGGAGCGTGTCATTATGTCATCGTAGAGCTGCGAGATGCCTAAGGGCGGGTCTATGCCAACTGCGATCACCGCGTGTGAGCACATGGAGACCGCGCAAATCGAGTCGCGCTTACACATGTTCACACGGGATGATTGCTTCGTTGCTGATGCGGAATGACCACATCCAATCAATTGTTGACCTTGTTAGGTGTGGTTTGGTCGTGAATCGATGCACAGGGACACGTGCAAGTGCGCAGAGCAGATCGTACTTACGCGCGTCCCCACAAGGCGTTCGCTGGTTTCTGGGCAAACAACTACCCGATTATCTAATCATTCCATAATTTCCGAGCATGCAAGATGCAACAACCACAATCAGCTCAATCAAAAGATTAGAAAAAATGGAAACAGCATTGATGACTACGCAAAATTCCTACCCCATTCACGAGTGCATCAAGATGGTAAACGAAGGCAAGGATCAGGCGGAAAGACAAACAAACAGACACGACATCCATTCATCCATTCACACACCATATCCGAGCTAAGAAATCGCAAAGACAAGTGTGAGCGAAAAAACAGGTCCGATTTTCGAAAAACAGAAACGGGCAAATCGCCCTGAACCGAAATCAAAATTTATATACACGAGACGAGAGGGAGAAAACATAAAAGAAACAGCAAATCCGCGTCCATCAACCTCAGCTCCTTCTTCCTCTTCTCTCTCTCTCTCTGATGTGGACAGTCCGTCGTCGCGCACCAACCCACGAAGTCGTCACCCCGCTTAGTCCTCCCGCACTCGTCAAGTTCGCCCGCGCCCACAGACCGCCGTGGCCCGCGTCAACCCTGCGCGTTTGGCACCAGCTCGTCGGGTCGCCCGACTCCCACTTCAACTCACCTCTTACTTCGCTCGTGAGCCGACCCTCACTGATCGCGCTACCCCGAGCTTCCAACAGCTGGTTAAGAGAGCTAACTAATCGCGCAACTGGAATTTATAGCATGCATGCATGCGCGAAGAACACGAAATTACAAGGACTTAGAAAGAAGATTAGAGAGGGAGCGCCTGCGTTTTGCATGACCAGGCCGCGGCGTCGGGGACTTTGCCCCTCTCCACGCATCCATCCGATCGGGCAGCCCGCGGGTGGGCTAGACATCACAAGAAGAAAGCGAAGGCGTGAAAGACGAAGCACAAGAAGAAAGCAAAGGCGGGAAAGAAGAAGCACAAGAAGAAAGTGAAGGCGGGAAAGACGAAGCACAAGAAGAAAGCGAAGGCGGGAAAGACGAAGCACAAGAAGAAAGCGAAGGCGGGAAAGACGAAGCACAAGAAGAAAGAGACAATTACAATGGCGCCCGCCAAAAATTACAGTCACACACACAATTAAAGGCGCCGACTAATCAGAGTTCCGTTGCAGCCGCACGGAGAAGCGCGTAAGCAAAAAGCGCCGCTCGGCCCAGAAGAAATTCCTAATTACAAAATTCCTAAATTCCTATCTAATAAAAAGGCGGAAAGCACAAATTCCGAAAAGAAAGTCCGAAATTCCGAGAGCCATCGGGGCTTGACAAGATTCAAAAAAAGAAATTAAAAAAATAATAAATTCAAAAGGAACGAAGCAAATTCCCGCGCGGTGTCCGCGCCTAAAAGGTCCGAGCTCGAAACGAAAAGGAAGCGACGTCAACATTTATGAATCGCGCGTATGACTGCGCGCCACTTACACAACCAATCAACCAATCGATTGTCCCGGGGCTGACCCGGGCCTGAACCAACTATCCGAAAGGACCCGTCGCAAAAGGACGAAGAAGCGAGGACACCGATGCAATTTCCCATCCATCCCAATCTCCCGCAATTGGCCCATCCTGCCCAGCTTAGGACCCCTCATTGTCATCGCGCAGAAAATCGCGCGGTGCAGAAATCGGTTCGTCACACTGCCGCAAATGTCCTGGAAAAGGTGAAATTTCTTCCGCAAACCCTTTTCCAGGACCCCACAGACCGAAGATTGCGGCTTGGAAAAACAGCAATTTCTGTTTTTACGTAGTCCGCGGCGTGGAAAAGTCTCACGGGGGGATTCCTCGCCGCAATTTTGTGCCGACTGTAGAGGGTAGGTGGGAGGGCATGTTGTTCCTGGAAAAGTCTCGGAAAAGGCAGCAGCCAAT